ATAATGATAATGATAAGCTGTAATTTAATTAATCCTGTAACATTTTGTTGCTTGTTATTTAAAGAAAGGTTCATTTCGTAGTTTTTTTTTTTTAAAAAAAAAAAAAGGAAAAAAACTCTACATAAAATTTACAACCCATTTGGGCTACAAAAACCAATTAATTTTATTTGTGTGGCCTTACTATAGTAAATATGAAAAGGCAACAAAACTCTTACATGGTCAAAGAAAAAAGTAAAGTTATAGAATTGGCACATCGTACTTCAAATAAATTTGCTGCTTACCACTATTCTCTTGATTTAACGATGGTTGGTCGGTAAGTTAAACAATTTTCACAAGACCCTCCTCTTCAAAAGAGTTTCCGAAGGGTTGGTTCCGGATGTCATGTATTGTTTTCTAAAGAAGAAGCCCAACTCTATGAATAGATAATGGAGCTTCTTAAAGATGGTTTCGCAGTTAATCATTCTAGTATTAAAACGAAAATGGTTGAAATTATGAGATCAAGTGCAAGACTAGCTCAAGATAAGGCAGAGAAGTTAGCAATTGCTAATTTTAAGTTTTCATAGCATTGGCTTAGTCAATTTTTAAAACGTTACAACCTTTCTCTTTGGCACAAGACTAATATTGTGCAAAAGTTGCCTAATGACCTTGAGAATAAGCTATTAAAGTTTCAACAGTTTGTTATTCGCCTCTGCCAGAAAAATAATTATTCTCTTGGTATGATTACAAATATGGATGGAACGCCAGTTTGGTTTGATATAATAGGAACTTGACTGTGAATCCAAGAGACATGAAAACAGTTCATGTTTAGTCAACAGAAAATGACAAAAATCGATTTATCGTGGTATTAACATGCCTTGCTGATAGCACTAAGCTCCTTCCAGTCATTATTTTCAAAGAAAAGATTTGGCCTGCTAATATGCCCTCTTCTCCAGTTGGTGTAATTGTTTGGTTTCAAAACAAAGCATGGATGGATGAGTTAAGAATGGAATGATGGATAAAATATTGGAATAGAATGTGACCAGAGGGACCTCATTCAAAAACAATGCTTGTCTTAGATTCTTTTTCAGCACATATTTCAGAGTGAATTAAGTCTGCATTGCATTCA